AGATATATGTGGAAAGGCTATTGATTTGTGTGCAAATTTGTAGGGAGTGCATGCCGGTAAAAGAAAGACAAAAATAGATGGGCATTTTGTGAGCAGTCAAGGCAGGTAGTTTTGGGGCAAAGGTGTTGTTAAGGAAGCGATGCCAAAAACTGCAGCATTACAAGTACTTGTTTAGTCGCAGAGACTGGTAGCCTGCAATTTGTCATTGGATTTATTTTATGTTTGACAATTTGTGTTATGTACCTTACACTTTGTCTACTGAAAAGATAGCGTTGAAGTAATTCTTTTTCACTGTACTACATTAAAACATTGTCTATTTCACATCAATAATTTCTCAGTCCGTCTACTTACTCCCAGAAGAGCATAGACATTAACACCAGGTAATCTGTAAGCCATATTTTTTTAAAAAAACTGCAAGACAACTACTATTTTTATGCAGTTTAGTAATTTAAATGTTCTCATGAGACCTTTTAAATTTACTCGGTGGATACACAAAATTTAACTGGTGGATGAAGTTATACAGACTTCATACAACGCCATTTTTCGAGCGTTTGAAATTTATATGATGGATTGCAATTTCATGTCATGTCATGTCAGTCCCGTGACATTTTCATGTTGTAGGGGTGTCATAATTGAGACTGCAGTCAGGGATCTCCATTGTCTCTGGTCTTCTGTCATTCTCAGCAATTTGCTTAGTGTGTGTCCAGTCCACTCTTTAGCATTGTCGAACCAGGTTTTTCGTTGACGGCCTCTTCTACGTCCTCCTTCTATGGTTCCCTGGAGTATGGTCTTAGCCAGGGAATTGTGGCGATTAACATGGCCAAACCATGCAAGTTTCCGTTGCTTTACAATGGCTAGGAGCTGTTGTTGTTTGCCTGCAGTATCATCAATTTGTTGCCTGACATACTGGTTGGTCTTGTGCTCTGAGTAATGGATGCCTATTACTTTTCTGTAGCGCTTGTTCTCAAATGCCTGAATCTGCCTTTCAGTTTCTGCATTCAACATCCAGCTTTCACATCCATATAAGAGGATGGAAATCACCAGTGATTTTTAAAACTTGATCTTAACAGGGAGGCTGATGTTTGTGCTCTTCCAGATGGTGCCGAGTCTAGTCATTGCTGCTGTAGCTGTGCCAAGTCTTGTTTTGATCTCTTTTGTTGAACTGCCATCCTTAGTGAGGATAGACCCCAGGTATTTGAAACTGTCTACCTCCTCTAAAGCTTGTCCATTCAATGTGATGTTGGTTGGTCCTTGCTTGCTGATGCTGTTGACAAGAACCTTACTTTTCTCTGCACTGATTTCCATTCCAAAGGCTTTTGCTGCTTCTTCAAGTTTTGTGGTGAGGTCTTGAAGCTCTTCCTTGCTACCACCTATCAGGTCGATATCATCAGCGAATCAAAGATTGCTAAGTGGTCTACCATTGATGCTTATTGATGATGGAATTCAGATAGTGTCTCTGTCATGATGTTTTCTAGGAAGATGTTGAACAGAACCGGAGAGAGCAGGCATCCTTGACGAACCCCAACTGTTGTCCTGAATGATTCTCCAGTCCTGTATTCAGAAGAACTGCACTAGTTTATCCATCATAAAGAGCCTTTATTACATCAATAAGAAAGCTGTCGATGTTGTAATTCCTTAGGACTTTCCACAAGCCATCATGCTACACACGATCAAAAGCCTTTTTAAAATCGATGAAGTTGTGAAACAGTTCATACTGGTGTTGCATGTGCTTCTCTATGAGAATTCTGATGTTGAATATCTGCTTGACTGTGCTTCTATTAGGTCTGAATCCTGCTTGTTCGTCTGCAAGTATTTCTTCAACCTGTTTCTTCAGTCTATTTAGTACAACCCAAAGCATGACTTTACTTGGGTGGCTGATCAAGCTGATTGTTCTGTAATTCTGGCAATGTTTGAGATTGCCTTTTTTGGGTAGGTGTATGATCCAAGACTGAGTCCACTCTTTTGGCCATTGCTTCTTTTCCCAGATCCTTTGGCAGATGGTGTTTAGAGCCTTTACAAGTTCTGGGCCTCCATGCTTCAGAAGTTCTGCAGGTATATTGTCTGCTCCTGGTGACTTGCCTCCTTTCAATGCATGTAGTGCTGCCTCGACTTCTTCCTGAAAAATTGGTGCACCTCCATTCTTCCTGTTTGTGTGGGGTGTTTTGGTAAGGAAGCTCGTATCTGGTCTGAAGTTGTAGTTGTACAAATCTTGACAGTATTCTGTCCACCTTCTAAGGACTGCTGTTTCGTTGGTAAGAAGTGAGCCGTTTTTGTCTTCGATCTTGCTTGTTGTTTCCCTGTTAGCATCTTGAGGGTGTCATATGCAATCTTGCTGTTACCATTTTTCATGCCTCATTCTAGGATGTTACACTGTTCAGCAATCCAATTCTCTTTACCCTTCATAATATTGTTTCTAATGTCTTTGTTGACTTTGGCATACTTCTGAGCGGCAGATGTATCTGTGGTCTTCTTCCTCTTGAGCTGTCTTCTGTTGTCACATAGGTCCAGGATGTCATTTGTGACCCAAGGCTTCTTCTTTTTCCTTCTCTTCCCAAGTACCTCTGTTGCTGTTTCTTGTAGCACTTCTTTCACATTGTCTGTGAGGTTGTTGATGTCATCTTCCAACAGATTGAGCACAGCAAATTTCCCTCCCAATGTTGCCTTGAACATGGCAGCACTTGTTGGACCATATAGTTTTTCTAGGTCGAATCTTATACAGGCGCTGTTAGGCTTGTAGTTCCTCTTTAGTCTGAATCTTAGAGTCAGCAGCACCATGTCATGATCACTACCAATGTCTGCTTGTGATCGATCTGGTTGTGGGTCTTGTTGTCAGGTGAGTGCCATGCTGCCCTTCTGGATGTCTTATGCGGAAACAGTGTGTTGGCTAGGGTCATCTTGTAGCTCTTGGCAAATTCCAGCAGTCTTAGTCCACGATCATTGGTCTCTCCCAGTCCAAAGCGTCCGACTCCAAAGCAGGCCATTGGTCATATGCATCCTCGTCTACTTTGGCATTCCAGTCTCCCATGACAATCAGCAGGTCTTTTTTAGGAATGGACTTGATGATCCTGTCCAGTTCTTCATAGAACTCTTCTACTGTCTCGTCGTCATAGTCAGAGGTAGGGGTGTAGACTTGGATGATGGGGAGGTTGTTTGGTCATGCTGCAATACGAATCGAAATAATTCCGCTGTTGACTGGTGTGCAGCTAATCCTTGATTTCACTCTATCCTTGTTGATAATGAAGCCAACTCCATGTCTATGCTTGTTGTTATCCCCACTATACCATAACTTGTGTCCTTCATCCGTGATGGTTTCTCCAAAGCCTGTCCATCTCACTTCTGCTATTCCTAGGATGTCCCACTTGTATCTAGAAAGTCTCATGTGTGAGTTCTTTTATCTTTCCACATGCATACAAAGTCTGTACATTCCAGGTCCCAATGATGGTGTTGTCCCGTGGAAGTCTTAGTGCTGGAGTTGGTTGTGCCCCAGTAGCATACTTCTCACTCCCATAACTCTGCGGCACTGCAGCAGGAAGGGTGTCATTGGTGATCTGGGCCTCAACTGATCCGGCATGTCAATATGTCTATTTGTTCCTATCATAACAATTCCATGGGCTTAGACAAGTTTTGGCGTCACCCATCTCCTCTCCAAAGCTGATATTTCCACAGGGTTTACTCCCGAAGATGAATTGCGAACTTTGGCTGGTGAGCTCCATCTGCCCACATGAGACAGGTAGTACTGGATTACATGGTACCAGTAGCAGGGAAACCCTGACCTGACAATGACGATTGCAATTTAAATAATGGTTAATGACTTAAACGCCTTTCTGCTCTTAATGCAGGAAACTAAGGAAATTGGCAAAACGTTTTTATCGTGTTACCAATGTGCATTTGCTGTTCAGCCATTTCTAAATAGAAATTAATGTTCCTTATTAGTTGTAAAGTGTAAATAAGCCCATCGGTGGTATTGCACAGTGGTAAATATGCCATGGGCCTGCGATCCATGCTAAAAGAAATAACGGTGTGTCCAGGGGCGGATCTAGGATTCTTCAAACGTCAATCCTAAACTGGCGAACGCCGGAGGCGTTTTAGGCAAAGTGAATGAAATCGCAGTTTTTCATTTTTAATGACAACCAATTATTTAACAGCAGCCAGTTGTGCTGTAAGACATTTTTGCAGCAACAGCACGTTAAAGTGGTTCTATGACGAAAACTTAACCTTAAAAAATCATCGATTTTAGCATTCAATAGTTTAAGCACATATCAATTATTGCTTTCGTAAAATGTAAGCAAAAATAATAATATAACGAGGGAGTTATGAACATTTGAAATGTCTAATTTTCATGTCCGCCATGAAAATCGGCCATTTTGAATATTTGCAATCAGCAAAGGTCTGTGACGTCATAGTCTTAACACAGCAAGAAGCGCACATTGGAAAGTATACAAAGTAATGATAAGGACTTGTAGTACGTATTCCATGTATGGATATATATTGCACAATCCATAAGAGCAAATACACGACGCTAAAGCGCAAATACATGACGATAAAGAGCAAATACACGACGTTAGCAACAACAAAAAGTCAAAATGGCTGCTCGAGGGAGTCATTCGATTTCTGAGCGAGATCCATCTGTGTACTGTGATAATGAAACTTGTAGTCCTCTTATTGTACGTTGTGGTCGAAATGACTGTGGCGCTGAAAAATGCAATGGAGAGACGTATCATTGTCCTTTGTGTCCTCCTAAAAAATTTTCAAAAGAAATTCCATCAAGAGTAAAGGCCCGTTTAAACGATCCAACAATGTTGGACCAACATCGTACAACATTGTTGGATGCACATTGGATAATGTTGGACGGTTGTGTTTAAACGATCCACGTACGGATCCAACAATGTTGGACCAGCATTTAACTACAAATGAATTGTGGGATACATGAGTAGTTTTATGCAGTGAACTGTCAACTATAGTTCACTGGTTTTATGTTAATGACAATTAATTACATCAACATGGTCGACGCATTTAAAAAGCGAAAACTTGCTGCAGCTTTTGCTATATTCATCAGTCTTGACGAGCAAGAAAAGAAGCCCACTCGTGGAAAAACTCGTCGATGGATTAAAAGACGCGGAGAGATGGGTTACTTTAATACTATCGTTAGAGAATTGATGATGGAAGACACTGCGTCGTATTGCGAAATGATGCGAATGTCATATAAAGATTTTAAATACATACTTCAAGAGATTGCATCGCTCATTACTCCACAGAGAATCAACGGAGGGCAAAGAGTAATTTCCCCCGCAGAAAGATTAACATTAACTTTAAGATTCCTGGCCACGGGAGAAACATTCCGAAGTATGAGCTTCCAGTTCAAAGTATGTGTGGCTGCAATATCATACATTATTAAAGAAGTTTGCAAGGCCATAATTAAGCATCTTGGACCAAAATTTTTCAAAGTTCCCTCAACCAATGAGCAATGGCTTGAAATAGCTTCTAAGTTTGAAGAAAGGTGGAACTATCCAAATTGTATTGGAGCTATAGATGGGAAGCACATTGTGATGCAGCCACCTGCGAATGTGGGCTCCTATTACTACAACTATAAGCATACTCATTCCATTGTACTTATGGCTATAGCTGGACCTGATTATGAATGCATCTATGCTGATGTTGGAACAAATGGAAGAGTTTCGGATGGTGGAGTCTGGAAAAAGTGTGGACTTTCCAAGGCAATAGAAGATGGTGCAGTGTCTCTTCCTCCACCAAAGTTGTTACCTTTAGGGATGGTTGAAGTGCCTGATGTATTTGTTGGTGATGATGCTTTTGCATTGCAAAAACACATGATGAAACCTTACCCCCAACACGGCCTTACAGATGACAAGAGAATTTACAACTACAGACACAGTCGTGCACGAAGAGTTTCAGAGAATCTTTATGGAATTATAGCCAACAGATGGCGTGTTTTCAGGTCTGTGCTTTTGCTTTCACCTAGAGCCATTGAAGATCTGGTTTTAGCTGCAATAATATTGCACAACTACCTCAGAAAGAGTACATCCTACAGTATTTACTGTCCTGTAGGAATTACAGATAATGAAACAAGTGAGGGAGAACTGATTCCTGGTCAGTTGCGCAATGACAACCATTCTGAGTCATTTCTTCCATTATCTGTACCACCAACAGGTCACAATGCTACAACCGAAGCAAAGAACATTAGAGATAACTTCAAGGAATATTTCTGCAATGAAGGAGCAGTTGAATGGCAGTGGAATTTAATTTAAAAGTTAACCATTTACCATCTTGTGAACTATGAAAATGTTGACATAGAACGGTAACTGACAATATAGTAGCTCAAACTATCCATAGTAGTAAAGCTTTTTGGTGCAATTTCATTGTAGTAAACTAGTAAAGCTTTTTGGTACAATTTAATTGTTTAAGATCCTAGCCTTAAATGAAAAGTAAGTTTTACAAAGCTTTTTACATAAAAGCACATTGGAAAATTGCCATTTATGAATTTAATTTACAAGTCATGGTGAAGAACATAAATTGAATATTGTTGCATTCTAAAAGCTTTGGTACATGCCTTATTCTATTCTTTCTCTACGACAAGTTTTTTATTCAATTTCTTCCCTAAGTAAACAAATTGATGTTTCTATCTAAAAATCCTCTCTTTGATGCTGTCACTTAAATTGCAGTCTAAATTTGTTTTTTGATCTCTTTCAGATATCCGAACTCTAGAGAAAAGCAATTAGTTTCAGTATTTTTGATGGGTTTCATTTTTTTTTCAATTTTAATTTTGCATATGTTGACATTTTTTACCCAATAGCCAATAATAAGATGAATTTTATAAAATAGGTATAAACATGAATAACAAATATTTTGCAGTTTGTTCTGTTCATTTAATGTAGTCGAGATCATACAAATAATATTTCAACATTGTGAATTAGTATTAAACATTCCCATAAATGATCCTTGGTTCATTGGAACACCAATGTCTCTATCCTGATGATGGATTATAGGCAGGAAAGATTGCGCACTTGACTGCATTTCAAGTTCAAAAATTATGTCATTTATTTTCTTTTCTGCTATCATCCTAGTCCTGCTGTGAAATTTGTCCAACTTCTCTGAAATATACATAGCAAAGTAACATTTCTTTTGATCTGTTTGTGGCACAACTGGCTCCTTTAAAATTTTAACACAAGTTTCTAGGATCTCAACCTTTTTTGCTTCACTTGTAGCTCTTGAAGATTTTTTTGATGGCCCGGAAGATGAAATTGATGCACAAGCTCCAGGTGTAACAGGGGTTCCACACCCTTGAAATTCACTGAGACTTCCCTCAAAACTACTATCTCCATCAGTTGAAAACACAGAATCTGGAGTTGAAGTTTGTCGTGGCATATTATCTCTGCTTTTCCCAGCTTGCATTATTGGAATTAAGAACTGCAACCTGTCACAGTAAATCCATGAAGATTTATAGGTTTCAGAAAGTCCTTGTCCAGACTTTGTTTTCTTAGTTTTTCCTAGTTCTCTTCCAAGTTGAGCTCTGAGACACACAATTTTATTCTTGATATCAGCAATTTCACGTTCTAGTGCTTCTGCAATTTCTTTGTAGGCTTTATCTTTGATGTCTCTTTTGTGATAGTCTTCACAGAATACATCCCAAAGACAAGCTCGTTCCTCAAGCATATCTATTAATTGTTGGATGTCAGATTCGCTCCATTTTGGCCATTTTCGGCGCTCCTTTCGCTTTGTATTATATGTAGTCCTACAGCTTTCTTTCCGTGCTTTTGTTTTAGAACTAATATTGTTTTCTTCTGATTGCTCTGCATCGAAATTATAATCCTCAATGTCCTCCATAATTATATCGAAGTAGATGGTAATTCGCAGACAATCATGCATACATGAATTATGAATGTGAACATATTCATAACGCGCATGCCCCAGTCCAACAATGTTGGACGTTTTTGATAGAATTCAAAAGCCATCCAACATCGTCCAACATTTTCCAACATCGTCCAACATGGTGTTTAAACAATCCAACTTTGTTGATCCAACATTGTTGGATCGTTTAAACGGGCCTTAAAAGAACACTTTAAAAGCGTCCACTGGGAAAACAGGATTCATGAATTTGAAGGTAAAATGTGCTTATTTCTGCGTAGGTTTAATACATAACCCACGTCAATGAGCGAAACGCACAAAGAACTTTGGATTAAATCACAAGTATTGATTAAATCATGAAGAATTTAGGTAATTTTAATAAATAATTTGAGAAATTGGGTTTAAACTTATAAAATATTTAGTTTTCTAAACTGCATCATCACAGCTGAAGATAGGTACTCTCAATTATAAATGAAAACCACATGCTTTTAACAGAAACTAACTTTGTGCTGTGCTATTTCCCTAAAATAGAAAAGCATTATTAACCTATCTTATATTTATTGAATATCATTTGATTGTATGCTCATCTAGTTAATATTGTATTTGTCTCACTATATATCCATAATATCCTATCATTTCCATATTCTTTCTTTACTATTTCTTGTTTTTTTTTATGTAAGGTTTTGACATTCTGAGGTGTAAGCTGTCATGTACTTTTGCATCCAAACGACATGGCTCAGATGTCAAGCATTTCAAAGATGTTTTGCACTATCACTGTTTTGGATGTAATTCTGGATTCAAGCGTCGCAATGAAGCAATTCGACATGTAAGAAGTGCACATGATTTACAGCTTTCTGTTGTAGAGTTTGGTTCGGGAAAACAACAACAATGTTCTCAAAGTCAACTTTCTCCACATAAAGTAGCCCAACAGCAAGTACCTCAAAACCTACAATTTGAGCAGCAAATGCATCAAACTCAGTTCCCTCAAGTTCAGCAGCATCAGCTGGAGCACCAAGTGACCACTCAGCATCTCACACAGCTGCAAACACAGCAACAACAAGAGCAATTTCTACATATGCGGCTATCTGAGGAAACACACCAACAAAGCAGCACAAACATAGAAATGTCTGAGGTTCAACAATATCAGGAGTTTTCTTACATGCCTGCTCAGTCTCGTTCAATGCGACAACAACCACCCAGAGTTAAATGTCCTTTCCCGGACTGTAAATGAGAATTTCATCCAAATTCCTTTCAAGCCACATAAAGACCAAACATGCTGCTGATAAAAGAAAGAAAATATCTTCAATGAGGTACTTGAATGGAATATGTGTTGACTCGACAAATGGGGTTTATTTGTGAGGAAACAACTTAGTGGAACAGATCATCCCATTCATTGTCAATTTAAAACCACAAACTCTCCTTCTATTGCATGTAGTGTTGATACATGTCGTCAACTTAGCGAAACTGCTTCAAGAAGTGGTCAAGCAAATTTTCTTTGTGATCATGTGCAGTCTACATATTTTATTGGGACGTCAACTGTTGTTGATCATTTAAGAGAAGATTCTCTTGATTATATAGTGAACACTTTGAAATGGTTGAAATTTGAACGGAGGTCTGAATGTCTGCAGTGGCAGAAACAAGCTAATGACAAGAATACCCCACTTGTTGTTCAGATGCCTGTCACACCTGATTCCTCCAATCGTTTCTTTCATTTTTCTGTGTTTGCAAATGTTAAACGGGATCATTACTGGTCATTTTGCAAACGAGTAATTGTATCATATGACAATGAAACTTCATCATTTCATTGCAAATGCTGCCCATCTCGTCGTTCCTGCATGCATAAATGCATTGTTAAGTGGGCAATTGGACAGTGGCATCCCTCTGTTGTTGGCACCACCCCACCAATTGATGATGAAATTGGTGAAGATTTAAGTTTACCAGAACCAGAAGATAATGCTGTTGAAGACGTTCTACTTGAAAATCAAAATCAAATTTCCCTATCTGGCAGCTTTTTTTATCCTCCTTCTGGAGATGTGGCTGCAAAGTTTGTTGAATACCTGTTTGCTGAAAAGAAGATCCCTTCACACATTCCTTTGACATTAACTGTGGAAAAGGAACTATTTGCTAAAAGGTAACTGTTTATTTAAATCGAACAAAGCAACCTTTTATTATTGCATTGTCTTCACTCCAACGAAAATATTCTCCAACGGTTTAGTTCCTTATTGAAAATGACATTCTTTCCATTAACTAAAACAGCAAAAAGATTTGTTGTTTGTATTGACATTGTCTTGTCTCCTAGTTACCTTCCTGTAGAAACCATCTGTTTTTATTGTAAATCACCACTAACTGAGCCACACTGTGTAACAAGAAATGCAAAGTTGGTAACTATGAAAGGGATTATTGAAGGTTTGTCATTAATATGAAACAGCGTGTATATATCATCGATTTAAATCTCGAACTTTAGATAAGACATTGAGTTGAAGATAAACCCAAAATGTACAGTTACACATTTTATGGATTGTTTTGTATAGTTACCAGAGTGCTCAAACCTATAACGGTGAGCTTTGCATAGGGCGAAAGCGTTGAACGTGTCATATGGACTCTCTACGTAGTCTGTGGAAAATGCTCAAACTATGCATGAGCAGAAAGCGTATTATACAATGTATACATATATGTGTGTGTATCTTTTTCTTTGTTCTTCCAGGAATTTCGCTGTTTGCAAAGTTTTGTGTCGAGTGCAAGATACCGTACAGATACCAGGAGTATTCAGCTGGTGTTCACAATTTTAATGACAACTGGCTTTTAAGTTTGGGAATATGTGATATGATCAGAAAACATCTTCAGGTATGTTATTTTTAAAGCATTTAAGAACCACTTGTCACTATTCCTTCCTCTCTTTTTCTCTTGATGTAAATTTTTTTAACTGGGTGATGGCCTTAACCAAACTGTGCATCATCCATATTGTACCACCCACTCCCCAATTTTTGCATGTTGATAGTTAAGAAAAACAAGGAAGGGATATTAATAACCAGGTATGCATGCTATAAATGAGCATGTATTGTATGAAAAATATAGGTTCACAACGCTGTCAGTCGCACTGTTGAGGCAATTGAAAACTGGCTGCAGTTGCGACCATTTCAGTTACCACGTGGTCAAATGATGAACGCGTATCTTCACTTTGAAGCTCTCTCAGATCATGACTATGGGTTTTCTTGTGTTTTGTGTGGACACTTTCCTCCCCTGTTAACTCTAGATGTAGACAAGAAAGGAATCTTTGAACTAGCGGGTAAATTTGACTGATAATTTGGCAAACTTTTTTTATGAGTGGTTTTTGTTACATACTTTTACATTGTCATTTTTTAGGTTTGTTGACTTGAATTTTGATTTTGTTAACTTGTATTCATTTGCATTGTAGTTAGTGAACTTCAGTTGCCAGACCCCGAATCCGATGCTCCTGCAGATGAAGTGGACGCTGAAAAGTACTGGCAACAAGTGAACTGTGGGATCTTATACAGAGGAGTATTGAGAGGTACGTACGTGCTACAATGTTTATGTACTCCTGCACGTGAAAGTTTAACGTTTTTTCTTACATAATTTATTTTTTGGTTTATTTTTGTTTACAAATCCTTATGATTGATTTGTTTGATGTGGACGTAGCGTATACACCATCTGGTGTGTTTGAATTATGATAATGCTTGTAGTTTTTCAATTGTTTGTAGGTACTGAAAAAAACCCTTTAGAAATCAAGCCTTCATATAAGTTTTGGGCCCCATATATTGGCCCAAAATGCAGAAGAGGAAGGAAACTATTTATTACCGAATACATGAAAGCGTATCATAAACAAAACCTAACATCAGCTGGGGCTACATCTGATGAATGTTCAATTGAAAAGCTCATGGATTTGTTCTGTGAAGGAAAAGTGCGTATTGCTATTAATTATTAGACTGTGTAGAAACTTTTGGGATGAGTTGGTTTACATAAAAGTCATTCTCTGTGTACTTTTTAGGTACCTGTTATAAGAGAAATGGCCAGAAGTTTAAATGTGAGCGACAAGGGGTCGAAACTTGATATAATTAACCGTATAAAATCTGTTTTGAATATCGAAGAAACGTTTCTTAAACTTTTCTCAAAGATGTGGGGTGGTTCAGGTAAGGTTAACTTGAAATTGTTTCACAAAGACGACGATTTTCGTAATGTATTGTGCTTCTTACCTTTATTCCTACCTACATACGTTTTATACATTAATCTTTTGTGGATATTGGTGTGTTAGCTTACAAAAAATTCATCAAATGGTTTCCTTTTTCGGGCAAAAGGTTCAGGTTCAATTCCTGTCTGATGACGTATGTGAGTTAGATATAACAAAAACATCATAGTTTTGTACTTTTATGTGTTAAATTTGTTGATATATTGAGTGCACATTGTGTGAGAAGACAGCAAACTTAGCAAATTCATTATTATAATTTCAAATGGATAAATAATTTTTATTTTTGGCACAGGCGGTTGGTTGGGAATGACGTGTCCACATGGAGTATGCTATGGTCTGAAATGGCTATTGCGACAAGAAGGACCACGAGATCATGTGGACATGCTTATGAATCTCGCTGCTGTTCCGAATGTTACCATATTGGATATGGCAAACATGATTGTAGCTCATGCAAGGAACAGAGGATACGACGTTTTTCATCCATTCCAAGGTCGTGTTGCTGAATATAGCCTGGAAAATATCAGACGAGCTAATAGTGGTGAGCTAGAGATAGACTGGCCTTGGTTTCCAAACGGAGAAAGATGCGACTTGTCAACTGTCGTACAAAGGTCGGATGGTGAGCAGCTTCTGTGTAATCCCTCAACTAGATCTTCTGATCATTACTGCCTGTTTGATCAATTTCACGAGAAAAATTCCACGAACCCAGCCGACTGGTTGCGAAGAGTGTCTTGCGTTAACCAACTTGCCGGGAAGATCAATTCAGAAACTGCTGAACAACTCAACAACAGACGAAACCGTGATAATTACTTCACAACATCTTTGTCAACTCACAATTCCGTCTTCATGGAGCGATTGGCAACTCATTTTAGTAATGAGAAATTAAACCAACGTATCATAAATACTCATCGCAAGCAGGTAAGTGAGTGTTTTATTCTTTATTTTTAATGGAGTCTAAGTGTTGTCTTTTCCAGTTGCCTGAATAATCTTTTAAAATGTATGAAATCTTCTGTCTCTTCACAGTTTGGAATGGCTATGAGTTTTAACTCCTTCGGTCAACTTATAAGTAGAAATGAAGATGATTGGACCGAGCAGGCATCACAACCAAAACGCGTCCGTTTGTCGACTGAAAGTCTTTCAACAGCTAACAGACCTGCCACAAGTAGCACTGGAACACTAAATGATGCTTGTGATGAGTTGACACACGTTGCTGAGAAAATGAATCCCTCAGCTACAAGCAGCTACGACCTTGTTATAGACTAGTTGTGACCTCGTCAGTCGTCATCAAAGCTTAAGTGATATTTGACATAAAGGAAGCTCAATTTCTGTTTGGTTGTTCACAGCTTGGCAAAGAACATTGTAACAAGTCGAATTCCAAAGTCGAATTCCATTACCATCTGTAGATCTAATTTCAATATATATACTTATTCATATAGAACTGATGTCCAATGCCTGAACACTAAATTCAAATTTCTTTCAAGCATTTCATCAAATTTTCTCAAATTCTTATATAATTCATAAAACATCTAATTATACCTAATGTGAAAATTTTATGTAAAATAAAGACGTCCTTCGATGTGAACTGATATCCTTATACTATATTATATACTATATATAGTATACATACGTATAGATAGCCAATGCCTAAATAGAATCTTAAGTTCTTTGAAGTATTTCATCAAATTTTCTCAAATTCTTATATAATTCATAAAACTTCTAATCATACCTAATGTGAAAATTTTATATAAAATAAAGACGTCCTTCGATGTGAACTGATATCCTTACACTATATTATATACTATATATAGTATATATACATACGTATAGATAGCCAATGCCTAAATAGAATCTTAAGTTCTTTGAAGCATTTCATCAAATTTTCTCAAATTCTTATATAATTCATAAAACTTCTAATTATGCCTAAAGTGAAAATTTTATGTAAAATAAAGACGTCCTTCGATGTGAACTGATATCCTTATACTATATTATATACTATATATAGTATACATACGTATAGATAGCCAATGCCTAAATAGAATCTTAAGTTCTTTGAAGCATTTCATCAAATTTTCTCAAATTCTTATATAATTCATAAAACTTCTAATCATACCTAATGTGAAAATTTTATATAAAATAAAGACGTCCTTCGCTGTGAACTGATATCCTTATACTATATTATATACTAAATATAGTATATATACATACGTATAGATAGCCAATGCCTAAATAGAATCTTAAGTTCTTTGAAGCATTTCATCAAATTTTCTCAAATTCTTATATAATTCATAAAACTTCTAGTTATGCCTAAAGTGAAAATTTTATGTAAAATAAAGATGTCCTTCGATGTGAACTGATATCCTTATACTATATTATATACTATATATAGTATACATACGTATAGATAGCCAATGCCTAAATAGAATCTTAAGTTCTTTGAAGCATTTCATCAAATTTTCTCAAATTCTTATATAATTCATAAAACTTCTAATCATACCTAATGTGAAAATTTTATATAAAATAAAGACGTCCTTCGATGTGAACTGATATCCTTATACTATATTATATACTAAATATAGTATATATACATAGGTATGGATAGCCAATGCCTAAATAGAATCTTAAGTTCTTTGAAGCATTTCATCAAATTTTCTCAAATTCTTATATAATTCATAAAACTTCTAATTATGCCTAAAGTGAAAATTTTATGTAAAATAAAGACGTCCTTCGATGTGAACTGATATCCTTATACTATATTATATACTATATATAGTATACATACATATAGATAGCCAATGCCTAAATAGAATCTTAAGTTCTTTGAAGCATTTCATCAAATTTTCTCAAATTCTTATATAATTCATAAAACTTCTAATTATGCCTAATGTGAAAATTTTATGTAAAATAAAGACGTCCTTCGATGTGAACTGATATCTTTATACTATACGTTATACTATATATATAGTGTATACATAAACAATTTTTTGCGCATTGCTGTAACCTTTTAAAATGAGCACTACAGGAATCAAACCCATATACTAGAAACAGCTAGCAAACCATTATGCTCGTTTAAAGGACAACAACAAACTTTTTCTGTTTTTCCATCAAATTTTATCACGTTATTGATTGTTCTTAGTCTCCTTGATTGATCACAAACGCAAACTACTGCAAAATACAAATAACTGATATTAATGTTCGAGGCATATAAGAATATTATCCCAATTTTAACGAAACCTGGGCACATTCACTTCTTCATTCAGGCCATGCAGTAAAACTTATTTTAAATGACAACTTTTCCCAGAACTGTTTCACCCCCCGAATGATAGGTCCCAAAGAAATTATGGATTTATCCACACTTGTTTTGAAAGGGATACGTTGCTCTAGTTTGGGTGAGATGTCAGTGAGCACTTGTTGCTGTAGAATCTCAAGTTTTTCTGTTGAATTCTGTTACCTTTTCATGGTGATTGGGAGAATACTGGAAGAGTGCTCCAAACACTCAACGATATTAGTAGAACATCTAAACATTCAGATGCATTAGACGATAAACGTTCGACACAAAGAATAGCACAATTCGTTGCACGTTTGGCTCTGGTTCGTCCAGACCATTTGTTGTTTGTTACAACTCGTTGTAAAATAAGCAAATCAAACATATGATAATTAAATGGTTCAATAGACTCTTGAATGCTTTGCCGAACTACTTAAGAGGCAATATTATTATCCAATAATATAATTAGAAAATAGTTTATGACGTTAATGATAGAAGAACATTGAAATCTACATGTATGTCTTATGTCTAATAGGAAATCTCTATAGAACTGTCCATTGAAAATCTTGTTGTTTTTAATGTTTTTCATATTACGTTTAAAGGACTGCTGTAATTGGAGAAAGTTCCTAGCCAATTGGTAGTAATCTATGTTACTTTCTGGTGAATATGTTGGGAGATTGGTGTCATACTTTATGGACATAGTAACGTTTTTTTACAAAACATTGAAATTTCTGGTGCAATCTTATATCATGTTTGGATCAATTGTTTCCTTTGGACAATTAATGAGTCGTGACATTCTACAATTTTTAAAAACTGCTGAAAAAGTGCTAATTCAACTTACTTTTCAGTTTTCTGCGTTTTTTTGCGATGCTCATTTTCTAATGGTTTATTACGCAGGGGCGGATTTAGACTGTTGCAAACGTTGCAAAGGCAACAGTCAGAATTTTGCAAAAAATATCAGTCCCATAAAAATCGCATAAAACGATTTATCGGGTTCGCAATTTTGCATTCATGCGTAGTGCAAGTTGTACTTCGTTAAATTAAGGTTATACAAAGACTAACATGAAGTATGTGCCTATAAATCATCTAAACGCGATCGCATCGTTCAAAATCACACTGAATGGATTATAATGAAATCGGCAACAGTTTGTTGCTTAATTTAGCGAGCTTTGGCTACAGCCAGACGTGCTAACCCAATCACATTGCTAATTGTGGCAACAGTCGAGCGTTGCTTAACCAATCATATCACAAATCACAGCAACAGTGACAGTGGCAACAGTTCGATACAATTGCGTAATTTGCTTTTATGACTTAATTTTGGTGTATGGACAACTTAATTGTGCTAATTTGGAAACATTCAAAATGTCATCTTACGATACGTTAAAGCAACTGCGCAGTTTGTTGAATAAACCGCCTTCCTATGACGAAAAGGCAAGAATGAGTGGGATTTCATCACTCGGCAAGAATGCGAGAGAATTATTGCAGCCAAACTGAGTAAAACGAGTGGCGACATACAGCATGTTCATATATGTCAATTTTCAAAACTGCAGTTCCCTCGAAGTCAGGAATTACGCTGCATAAATCACTTCCCAATAAAGTTAGTAAGTTAATAAGTAATACGTGCCACACTGGATTTCACTAGAAAAATTCGACAAATTTTATAATTGACTAGACTTTGTGATGTACTGTATGCAACTGTGCAAATAAATTGTTATTGTGTCAATTTTGCAAATAAATTTGCACAGTAGATCTGTAATCTGCAGACTCAAAGGCTCTATGACTTCTTAATGCACATGCCTTTAATGTTGTATTTAATATTATTTATATTGTGTGGTTTGTATCATTTGTATTTAAATACATTTGTTTGTCACTTCCCACATATGTGGTGGTGGTATGGACAAACCCAAGAGCATTTGAAATTTAAGTTTTAATGTGAAATGACTCATTCCTGGATTTGCTTATGTCTTTACGGCTTCTACTATATGGATAGGTTATTTAGATAAATGCTGATATTTTAATCTAAGTAATGATTGTGGTTATATTTATAATGCAGGCATAGATTTAAAGGACGTAATTTTGATGCAGATACATATCATGTGTCTTCCCTGTAAAAATAATTGCAGTTAATGTATTGCTGTCATAACTTATAAACTCTGTAAAACATAATGTTTTATTTCTATGTCATTTGATAATTTGCACTTATTCCATTGTTATATCAAAATATAGGACTTCTGGTGATGGTAATTGTCTTTATAATTCATGCTCCATTGCAATGTGTGGTGATGAAACCTTAGCCACCACTCTTCGATGCCTTACAAGCATAGAATTGTTTATGAATATACCTTATTATTCTTCCCATCCTTTGATTGAACAGCAGCATAAGCAAGGTGCGTTTAGTTGTAAGGAAAATGCATTTGCTATGTGTCTATCTGATGCTGCACTTGAATGTTTTGATAAAAAAGATCAGAAAAAGGCTATTTTTGAAGAACTTTGTAGAAATGCTAATGATCAAGTTTATTCATCTTTCCTGTGTTTGATGTCATTGTCAAGCGTCATCAGACTTCCTATTGAGTCTTATTATCCCATTTCTTCTTCTGATGTTATGGATTCTCTTTCAATTATGTTTAATTGCACTATTGAACCAAGGGAGATGTTTGAATTGGCAAAAGAGACTGACAAAATACACATCTTTCGTTGTGCATTTCAACCAGTGGACTATTTAGAAAAGAATGCCCCAAAAGCAAACAATCATTATGTACCTCTCTGTCGCAAAAAATCCAACATTTGCATTAGTGATGAAGCACTATTTTTTACTCCTTATCTCCTAAATATGTATTTTCCTGAAATCTTGTCCACCAGTTTCATTAAAAACGCTAACGAGTCCCTGTCAGCTTTCCAAGATGTCTCACCACATAAGGAAACACAAATAAGTGTCAAACCAGCCAGTTCAAAAAAAAAGTTCAAGCAAACTTCTCTTGACCAAGTCATGACAAAAAGAAGAAAGATATTGGAGGAGCCCACCACTAAAACACTGTTCGAAAGGAGAATTGTGCCTTCTGTAGTGGAAATAGTATCCTCAAACACTTCAAACTCCCATGCTTTAGATGTTGTTACTGGATATCGCTACGATATTTCAAACTTCGTGAATTTGTCTGCTCCTTTGACTGACCAAGATAAATACGCTTTGATTTGTAATCTCTGGAAACCCGAGTCAACTTACGATTTCCCTGTAACCATCATTAAAGGTAGTGGTCGAAGAAAGTTTCAATATGACTGGTTAAACATGACCGAATTTTCGTGTTTAGCATACTCTGCCAGAGTTGATGGTGCTTTCTGTTTAAATTGTGTTCTTTTTGGGGGCGAGTCCACTCACAATGCTTCTAAACTAAAACAACTATTTAAAGAACCTTTTAAAACATGGAACGTAGCTTTGCAGCGATTTCGTGATCATAATAAGAAATCGCAAGTACACAAAACAGCCACCATTCGTTTCTCTCATTTTAAAGAGGCAATGGAGCAAAGGTCTGTGCCCATCGATTGTCAGCTTAATTCAATTCGACAAGATTGCGACCTATAGTTGATGCTATTTTACTTTGTGGTCGGCAAAACATCGCATTAAGAGGACACAGAGATGATTCTAAATTCATTGAACAGGCCAATGTGAACACTGGTAACTTCCAAGAAATTTTAAAATATGGTGCCAGGTGTGGAAATTCTTCTTTAAATGATTATCTCGACGCTGCTCCACGTAATGCGACTTATAGATCAAAGACAACACAGAATCAGTTGATC